TGGGGAGTGGGAGAAGGTGGAAAGAGAGCCGAGAGCCTCAGGGTAAGGCAGACGGTTCCTGGGGTGCCATGGGCCTGAGAAGGGAGGAAGGAGGAGGGTTACCCAGGAGGGAGTAGAAAGAGATGAGAGGGAAGGGAGGTGGCGGGCAGCAGGCCCCACTCCTCCACCTGCTGCTCTGCGAACAAAGCCAAGGATGATGCAATCCCGGCCGGGTGCAGCTGAGGCTGCAAGGCTGAGAGGAAAGTGGGCGTCCTGGTTGGAGAGGTCAGTGGGCATCAGGGCAGATGCTAGGGGCCTGTAGATGGCTGACCCTGAATTCCCAGCCCAATAGGTGGCTCCTTCATGTGGTTCCTGGCTTCCTCCCGAAGCCCCACTCCCAGGGTCAGACCCCTCCCCAAATAGTCACAGCTGGAGTCAGACATGATGCAACTAGGACATCATTCCAGGAAGCCTCCTCAGAGGGGAGGGCACCTCCCCATGGGCAGTAGCAGAGATGATGAGAGACCCAGACACCGAGTTGACTCAGAGGCCCCAACTGGGCCCTTCATGAAGCAGCAGGCCTCCAGCCGCAGGTTACTGTCGCTCCTTCTTCTCATCCTGGAGATAAAGGACAAAATCTTCTGGGGAAGGTGGGAGGTGAAAGCTCAGGAGAATGCTACCCCAGGGCCTGTTGCACGAAGTAGCACATATTTATCGAAGACAGACACTGAAGGCACTGGGTCTGGGCCCCCAGTGCCAGGAGGCCCTCATCCCCCTGGGGCAAGAATACTGTCAGCAGTCATCAAGTCAGTGGGGGTGGGAGTGGCCTGAGCATGGCCTCCACCAGCCCCTGGGGTGTCTGCCTCAGCTCCCCACTCTGCCTGGGAGCCTAGAGAACAAAGGCTTCCCCTTCTCCTTCCACCAAAGAAAGGGGGCTCGTCCCACAAGGGCTATGTGGAGGATGTATCCTGGGCAAGGGTCCCCAAAGGGACAAGGTATTAAATGAGGACAGCAGAAGAGACCTGGAGATATCGTGTTCAGGAATATTTAAACTGTCTCGCCCCACTGCCACCAGACCTGAAGGGACAGCTGGGTGGCCTAACCCAGAGGAGGCCACTAGGTGGCAGGAAAAGCTCAACAATTTACCTGGTGCCACCCGCTTCCACCACCCGCCCCACAGCCCTACCCTCAGCAACCTCTCCTTTCTCCTCCTTTTCCCTCCAGCCACCTCTCTCTGCAGCTTTGGTGACAAGGGCTTGAAGTGGTTTCATTCTGCCTTCTGCCTTTGGGAAGGCGAAAAGCTCACAGTCTTTCTTCTCAAAATGCTGCTTGCTAATAATGATAATAAATAGCTCCAGTGGCTATTTATTGAGTGTTAACGAGGTTACAGGCATTTTACATGCATTATCTCATTTAATCACACATGAGGTAAGTAAAGAGACTCAAGAGGAGACAGACTAAGAAAACATAAATGGATTACCCAAGATTATGTGACTACCAAGTGGTGGGGCCAGTACTCAAACCCAGGTCTGCAAATGCTGGGCGGGATCCTCCCTAGCAGTGTTAACAGTGGATGTAAGGTGAGGAGGAGGCAAAGAACCCTTCAGATGCATCTGAGTTTTGTCCGCCATCTTTACCATCCCCTCCCTCACTACACCCTTCGAGATTCTAGGAAGGTGTTTTAGTCTCCAGGCGAGTGTGAGGTTTGAAAAGGTCATCCAAGTGATCCCAGCCCACAAAACCTCTGCTCTGCTGCCCTTCCTCCAGACTCCACATGACATTCTGTGTTCTCTCACCGCTTGTGAGAGTTCTCATTCCGTCTGGTTGCCCCCAATTCAGACCCAAAGGTGATTCTACCCAGAGGACCCTCCCCTACTGCCACCTTCCTTCTTGGCCCGTCTTTGACCTACTCATTGTTTTCAGCAAACATGAGGGCATCTCTTGACGTGCTGGCCCAGTGCTGGGTCGTGGGAGCAGAGCAGAGCAGAAGATGAACAAGACCCAGACAGAGCCCATTGTCCAGGCCAAATAAGAGTTTAGCATGTCTAGAGCTGGGACGGCAGTCACTTCTACATATGGTGTTCCATTCAAAGAAATAGGCCCACATCCAGGATAAAAGGAAATCTATCTCTATTACATTTTTCTTCATCAACACCAGGGCATGGGGGAGCGTGGCCGCTGCAAGGAAGGGGGCGCCGGGAGATGACACCTAATACACAGTGAAAGTCCCTTAAATCTTCTTAACTCTTCACATAGGACATCTGCTACCAGATTCTCCTGTTTCATTCCAAATTTTCTGAATCCAACCCAAGCTCAATCGTTACCTTCTCACACTTATTTTTCTCTCCCAGTGTAAACCTAACTAGCCTCTCCTATTCTCCTACCTGTCCAATCACCGCTCGATCTGCAGAATAAAGGCCCAGAAACAAAGTCAAGTTTCTGAGGCAGAGGGAAAGCCAGGCCTTGACACCCCAATGGGATGAGATGAGAAGCCCAGGATTTGAGAGAGGGAGTTTGATGCAACTTCTTCTGGTCACTGGACAAAGCCTGTTGACCCTACATCAGCAGCATCTTCCACCCAAAGGGCAGAGATAGCTATAATTCTCCCTGATGCCACTGGCACCAAGAGGAAGTGGTCCACAGTCCACATACCACCTTTGGAGTATCTTGAGTTACAGCTTTATCACATAATTCACACTCTGACTCCAACCACCAAAACGTCAATCCCTTGAGAAAATTCTGAAGAGTGACATTTTAGTGGCTACCTCCCATACAATCAAGCTGTCCTGTGTGAAAGGTGAAAATCCAGGTTCAAGGCTGGCTGACTAGAGACCAAGGAAAACAAGCAGCACTCCTTCTAAGAGAGCTGATTTCACATTTCTTCAACCACCACCCTTGCACATCTACTCAACTATGCCAGGCCTCGGTACAGGGAGAGAGCTGAACAGGACATGGGCTATGTCCCTCACAGAGCGGAGGTCACAGTTGAGCCAGCAAGCAAATACATGAACAAATATCTCAACAGAGGAAAGAGTATGTGTTTGGCTGGGGAATGGCTGGTGAAAATTCCAGAAGTGACCTTGGAGCAGAACCTTGAAGGATGAGAAGGAGCTTTGAAGGTAAAGATGGTGACAGGTGAGTATCCTCCAGGTAGAGGGGGTGGCATGAGGGAAGGTGGAGTGGCAGGAGGCGTGCCATGATCTAAGAACTTCGAGTCACGCATCATGACCCAAGTGTAGCTCGTGTGGCAGGGGAGGAAAAATAGCCTTGAACGTCGAGTTGAGGAGTTAAGATTTTCTCCTCTATGTTGAAAGTCATCAAAGATTTTAAACTAAAAAAAGTGACCTGAATACATCTTTACTTTAGAAGGACTTTTGAAGAAAAATGCATGATGAAGTCACAGCTTAAACAGGATCAGTGCATAGGATAACATCGCCGTCAAAATTCCCCTTGAAAACCTCTTGGGAGGTGGTTCCATTAGCAATCAACGACAACCCAGCTAGTGCCTCTTCAGAGCTGGAATCAACTCTCACACCTTTGGCTGAGCATCAAATGAGAATGGTTGGTCTTCAGAATCCACATGGCACAAATAGGCACTAGAATCTTTATGCACAAGATGATCACACTGGGAGAGGCCAGAGGGAACCAAGACAGAAAATCCACTTTTCCCATTTCTTCCTCAATTGGGGGACACGCAAAGAAACGGAGGAGCGAATCCCCTGCACTATTACCACTTGCTTATAATTGAATTCAAGTATGTTAGGTATGCATGATGAGATGTCACTGAGAGGTGAGATAGAACAGCCTTTGTGATAGAATTAAAGTGGGGGTGAAGAGTAGACAGGGAACACAGGAGATGAAACAGGTGGTTTTAGGTTTTGGGGGTGAAGAGAGTGGGAGGTGGTAATTTATTTCAGGCTGTTTCCAAAAGAATGCCTTTCATTCTGTGTCAAGTCAGAGTGGACTAGTACCTATCTTTCCTAGAGAACCTAACCAATCCTCACTAACGTGAATGATGCTGATTTGATGCGATAAACCTATGCCTCTTTTTCAAGAGATGCACAATAACACTCTTGACTGATGGTGTTAGCAAGGATTCCTATGACTGACAAACTGTGTCCAAATAGCAGCCATTAAGGCATTTGAATTGCTGATTCTGAATTAAGCATTTTCCCTTGTAACATTCACAATTCATAGCTTGGAGCACCTTTTCTTCCAAAAGGGAAGAAAACTTTAATCAGGAGTTAATGCTGTCATATTGATGTACTGTTTCATCCTAAAGCTGAGCTGACTGGGGAGTAGGGATTCCCAGACACCCTCCTGGAGGCACTGCTCGTCAACCCTCAGAAAACCCAACTCTTGAGAACTTGAGCTTCATCTCACTCTGCATGTTTCCCACTCTGGGGATGCAGAGAAATTGCAGAAAACTCCCCCAAATGTCCAGGGTGGTACACTGGCCTTCTCAGTGGGGAACTTGGTAAGAGATTGGATAGGAAGGTGAAGAGGGGAGCCCTGAGTGGCTCCAAGCACACACAGTTGTCAGAGACACACACCTGGTCTTTTTTTCTCCAAAGAGCACAGCTCAAGAGACAATGGGACTAGAAAGGCAAAGGTATGCAGGTTAAACTTATGAAAAAACCTTGACTGCGAGCCTATGTAAATACTAGGAATGACTACGTATGTACTAAGATAAAATATGAGCTCTCCCTAAGCAAAGCCTCACACCAATGCTCCCCAAGGCAAAAAGGCCATAGGCGCCTGGCCCCAGAAAGTCCTCTGGAATTCTCCTGCGCTTCCTAAGGAAGGAAGAAGGCAGCTTTGAATGACAACCATCAGACTTGAAATTTTTCCATACCTCTAATTCTGACAAGACCAGTTCCGGGTGTGCTCTGCTTGGCTGAGGTCACAGGGTTCCCCAATCCCCAGGAGTGAGTCATCTGACCCTGGGGAGTATGGTGTGAGGAGTGAGGAGTCATATGAGATGGAAGAGGGACTGAAAAACATACCCCAATAGCATGAAATAATTTCTAAACATTTTTATTTCAAATCTCTTTTCACCCCTCCCCCAAAAGACATGAGTCAGTACAGCAATCATAAAAAGGAGATACAAACACAAGAGTCAAATGTCTCCCGCACTGACACTTACAAAAAACTGGGAATTGTACATGGGGTTCCAAACAGGACCTGCAGCAGCTACTAATGTCCCTTTACAAGAGTCGAACATGCCTATTAATACAATATATACAGACACCCCATTCTGGAACTAATCTACAGGGACATCCCAACACCCACCCCTCAAGCCCCAGAAAAATACCAAAACACACCCAAAGTGCATTTGTTTTGTTTATATCAAAACATCTTTCCCCGCCCCACCCTCAGACCCTCCCACCCCATTTAAGATTGGCCTGCAAGTCTATTTTAACCATTTAGTAATTTTTATAGTTTATGAAAATAAATTATACAGCAACTATTTTAATAAATTAAGCACAAAAAGGGAGAGGAAAGGAGGAAAATTAAATGGGAAAACCCAGGCCACGCTTTGGCTTGGAAGAGGGCAAGGTGGCTGAAGTGGACAGAAGTGGTTGCGGAGGGTGTGGCTCCCCTCTGGCGAAGAATCGGCAACCACCAGAGCCCAGAATGACACCCCTCTTGAATTTCTTAAAAACAACCAAAAAATGTACAGCAGTGGCTGTGCCACGGGCAGCACCAGTTTGGGCACTCCAATGCCTGGTCTGCCCACAGAGTGGTGCCTGGATCATGCTCATCCCTTGGAAAAGATTCTGGGCCTGTGTGGGGCAGGTCCCTGTTCAAGGGAGCACCAGGGATGAAAGAGTCAGACCAGCCTTCCCGCTCCTCCTGAGCTGGGTAGGGGGCTTAGGACGCAGTTCTGAGCGGGGCTGTGTGGTTTGCGATATCCTGGGTTCCGATCAAGAGTGTCCTAAGCTTTCCTTGCACTCTATCTCCAGGAACAACTACGACCGCAGACCAGCTGCGACCTGACATTCATGTCTTCCCACCATGGCTGGCTGCATTTTGCCTGCCCCTTGATGCCTCTTAGCATGGTGGAGGGGGTGTGGGGGTAACAGTTCCAGGTACCCTCTAAACAAGATGAAATGGGTGTGAAGGCATGTCACAGACTCAGCATGCAGGACTGGCTTCCCAGGAGGTAGATGGGACTGGGAAGGGATGGGAGAGGGGAGGAGAGAGAGAAGACAGGAAGGGAAACAGGAAGAAAATGGGACAGCACCTATCAAGGTCAAGAAGGATGAAAAAGACAAAGACAACATTGAATCTGCATGTAAAGAAAGGTCTTTCCCTGGCAGATTAGCGTCAATATTTTAAATATAATTCATTACTCTATTTTTCTTACTGCAGCGCCCGAGTCCCCAATGCCTCTGCCTCTGTGGTCCAACCCCATCTAACTCCTCCCAAGGCTTTGTTCTCCATCTTCTCAAGGCCTCCTGTTGTTTTGTGCTGAGCAAGAAGGCTCCAATGTCAAAAGAGGATAGATCATGGGGACTGGCAAACTTGACCTTACCTTCTTGAGCTTTGTGGCCCAATAATCCTATCGCTATCCTGGAGGGGGAAAGGGGGGGGTCACACTTTTCTTTTTTTAATTTTTTTTACTTTTTCTTTTTTAATAAAAAAGGTTTACTCCCCAGGAGCAAATAAATCATTTTGAACTACTGATAAACACTGCTGCAGTGAAAAGAAAGATGGCTACATGTATGCAATAGCACAAATTCAGTGTAAGAACAGCCGTGTTGACAATCAGAGATAAAAATCATTTATCCATTCCCCCCTTTCCCACAGACCAAACCAAGAGGATTCCCATAGGGAAAATGTCTAACTCAAAAGCTCCTCCCTTGGGGACAGGGGGTATGTTATTCTCTTAAAAGTGGAAAACAAATGGCTGGTCTCCCCCCAGTGGAGGTGCTCTCAACACCCCAACTGGTGACAAGACTTCTGCAAATGAAGACGCACACGCACACACACACACCTTTCAGACGGCCCTCCAGGAGCCATAGCGCCCTATCCCAGTGCCCAGTCTTCCAACTTCAAGGCTCAAAACCAAGGGAGAGACAGCAGGACAGGGATGGATGGAACCTAAGGGGAAAGTTCCTCCCATCCCCACACCCTCCTGGGCCCTGAGGGCTTCAAGCAGGCCCTGCTCTTCTGGGGGCCGTGGGGTGAGGCCTGAATGGGCTGGCTCCCTAGTCTCTCACACCTGGATCTGGAACCACTAATAACCCTCTTTGCTCCCTAGCTCTTCCTGGATGTGTGGCTATCTCCATATCATTCCCAGCCTTAATGAGGGGACTACATAATCAGCCCAGTGAAAAGAAGGAAAGGAGGCGGAGGAGTAGAAGCCAGGGTGGCAAGCTCCCCATTGCGCCTTTCCTCTTGGTGGCTGCAGTCCTCGGCTCACATTCCAATGAATATCCATTCACTATATATATCTAGGCACAGGCAGACAACCAAGCCAAAGTCATCACCAGTGGTCCCGACCTCTCAGCTGTCACCCACTTACATAGTGCCCACATCAAAGCCCCCACCCTTCTTACTCCTGTGCTCTGATCACAGCACGAGTTTCAAGTAATAGCAAGTTGTAGCAGTAGTTGTCACTAGCTCACAGTGGTTTGCACCATCCTGAGGAAGATTACAGCAGATCGATCACAAATAAGTGAGGGTTACACAGGCAGGGCCTGAGGGTACTGACATCACCCACCCACAACTCAGAAATCAATGAGAGGGCGTCTCTAGAAGTGAGAGCCTTTTCCAGTTTGTGACTTTAAAATACAACCACAAAGGAATAAGTACCCTCAGTAGACTGCATTTCAATTAGCACTGAACAGAAATGGCAAAGGATGGGGTGGGCCCAGCCAGGAGAGATAAAGGGGAAGTGCTAATGATGGGCCAGCTGCTCCTCTTCCCTGTTTGCTTTCTGACCAGGCTGGCACCTCAGCCAACTGCCCACCTCTTCCTCCACATCTCCTGATGGAGCCTGTCTCCTCTTGCACAACTCTGTCCTGTAGCCCCTTCTACTGAGGGAGGACTAGGCTGCAGCCTGCGCTGTGATTAAAGCACAGACAGAGACAGATCACAAACAAAAGTAAACACCACCCCTCCCAGAAACAGAAAGGACGGGGTGAGGCTGAGCCTCCTCAGTTGGTTTGGATTTGTACCGAGTGCAGGAATTCTCCAACAGAAACCCCTGGTACCATAGGGGGTCCAGGTGCTCTGCCTCCTTCATCCAGGCTGCACTGAAAACAGTGAGGTCCTTGGCCAAAGGCAGGAACCCAGCTGACTTCTGGCTTTGGACTCTACTTTACCATCATAAGCTCTCAACATCCAAACCTAGGTCTAATAACTAGAAAGTTTCGGTCTAGACCGCCACCCTGAAAATGGATTCTTAGGTGCTTCTGCTCTAACTTGGGGCTATGCACTGTTCAGTACACATCAGGCAGATTCCTGCTTTCGTGCTTTCGGTTCATACATTTCTTAGTCACTGTTCTGCCCTCACCTACAACCCAAAGCCTCACTGCCTCAGAGCTTTCCTACACGATCTGGTCTACCCTAATCTTACCCACTCTGAATTTCTTTAAAGGCAGCTTTGATTCTCTGTCACACTGAGTCATTCTCCAATTGCTTCATGAGTGACATTCGCCTAAAAGCTCCCTAAGGCTAGATACACATGCTTAAAAAATAATTTTTAAAATTATGGGTAGTGAAATGGTTTTTTAAAAAAATCCTAGATAGCTGCACATCAGCCACTCAAAGATCCCACTGGATTCCGGACTTCAGGCTCTCTAGTGGCGGCAGGGTGGGATGTGGTGTGTGGCACTTTCTGCAAGATGGCAAGTTAATCTGTACCCTCAAGAGGCAACAGTCACAGGTTAAGCCAATTTCTGGGAGCACAATTTTAACTGGTTGGTAATACTACCATGGAAGCCAAGGAGAAAAGCAGCACCTCCTGACATCGGAGGTGGGCTGTATTAATGCTAGAGAGTTCATTTTGTGGGCCACCTCTTTGGAGCCAAATAACAGTGCAAGTTTCCTCCCTATTTATTCCATGCAGGTCGTAAGGTAGAAGGCCAATGCTTCCAGATGAGGCAGTCCTATAGATTAACAAGCACAGGGGCCTCACCCCAAACCATCGGGAAACCATGAACCTGACAGCATTATTTATCTCGTGAGATAAGGCAGAAATAAAGCACAAGGTAACCAGAAGAGGCAGTCTAATGGAACACTTACTGCGAAAGAGTAATAAAGACCAAACAGCTCAATTTTCACATCTTAATAGCATACCTTTCCCCAGAGTAACTCTACAGAAAACCAAATTCATAATGTTATATGATTTGACAATGACCTGCTTCAGAAAAAATTAAAGTCCATTGAAAAGCCCTGGAGTTTTTCTCCCTCCTCACTTTCACCTGGAAGACAGGCAACTCTGAAATCAGCATCTGACAGAATCCCAATGAAAGGAGGGCAAGCGGGATTTGACTCAGGAAAAGGTTTGGGTTGCCAGAAACACAGGAAAATAAAGCCCTTGCTACCTCCTGTCTCAGAAATGGGACGACAGTGATAAGCCTAAAAATATGAGATGTAATGCTCTCCCCCTCCTGATCTAAGGACATCACATTAAGGCTGAGACACTAGAGAGCTCTCTCTAGAAGAATACAACTATGATAGCTTTGTTTTCCACCTGCCTCCACATTTCTTCTCACTAGCCGACAGACATATGGAGGGAAGCAACACTGACTCCTAAGTTACGGGTGCAGTTTGCCATTAAGAATCTGGAGGCATGCTCCATTACCTTTAGCAGCCCGTGATTGGAGCGCTGAACTGCTCAGGTGATGAGAAAAAATACTGCCTTGACAGCTGGCGGAAGCAAAACAAGTGATGTTACCATGACCAGAGTGAAATGTACAGTTATCTTGGGGAATGGACTGAGGGTGGGGAAAGAATGGGGCTAACTTGAGGTCACAGAGCTTAGGAATCAAGTAAATCAAAATGAATCCAGCTTCTATGAGAGGTGATTCTAAATCAGGTTCCTAAACCGGAAAAGGAAAGGATGAGGAGTCACTACTTCCCCCAACAGAGGCCATCTGTCAGTTTCTGTCCAGTAACCTTTTATCCGAGCCCACCCACCTGCTTTCTTTCCTGCTCCTACTGAAAGTTACCCATGCTTAAAGAGAAGCAGATTCTCATCCCTCCGAAACTCCCAACTTGATTTGCACTTCTCCTCTTCCCTTCTTCAAGGTCAATGGTGAAGACTCGCATTCTGCCTTTGGCACCAGCTTCATGACCGACACAGGCAACACCACCCACCCCCTCCTTTGGACCTGCTCACCCTTCACAACACTTCCAATCCAATGGGCACAAACCCCAGCTGTCTTTAAGGTGAGTTTTCCATACCAAGAAATGTAAATATCCAAAACAAAACTTGTGAAAAAGGAACAGTGTTGAGACTTCTTCCAGTTTTCCAAGGAGCTCATCCAGTTCCAAAATGCCACAGGGGCTCGATGTGAGAGGTGGAGCCCCCAAGAGGAGAGTATGGTTGTGTGCTTCTTCCAAGCCCCAGGGTGGCGAGGGGAACCAAACTCTTCGCGCAGAGGATCCCAACCCTTCCTACTCCCTCCTTGTTTCATGGTAGCTTCATTTCATTCTTCAAAACTGGAGCTTGGCAACCAAATCTAGCTTAATAAAAAAAGAAAAAAAAAGAGGGAAAAAAATTAGAGTGGTTCAATAGAGTAGAACCAAAATGGAGTGAAAAAATAGCTTAACCTCTGGAAGTAACAAAGTAAAGCTCAGAAGGAGAAAGGAGTCTGGCTAGCCAAGGACTCCTACAAACACAACACCTGACTGGGGATGTAGCAACAGCCTTTGCTGGAGAAGCCGGAGCAGCCTAGATCCTGGATGCTAAAAAAGGTTCTAAAATAACAAATATATCCTACTATTTTGCCTAACTTCTCTCTTTCCATTTTCCTTCCTCCTTAATTTTCTATCTACTTCCCCCGACTTCTCCCCTAAGGCCCACCTGCTCTAGGGATTAAAAATGGAGCTGAGCAAAAAAAAAAAAAAAAAAGGAGCTGAGCCCCTAAAGTAACCCCTTGAGAGCCTGTAGATCTCTGGCTATTAAAGAAGGTTGACATATAATCACAAAGGCCAGTGCACCTTCTACTTTCTGATTTAAGAAGGGCACTATTCAAGCTGTAACACTCCGAGCACCCTGGCATGAAATTCCCAAGGTAACAGACCAAATGGTCCATTCAGAACTCCCAAATTAAAATCAGCTCAACCAACAAGTCATAAAGACTAAATTTTACACTTTAAAGTCCTTTCCCATGAGAAGTATTACTTCCTCTTTTTTAAGGGGCCAGGGTCTAAATCAGGAGCAAATAAAGTATGATGCTTATTCTTTGCCACAGACAATCCCAGTGTCACAGCAAAAAAACAGACCCTGGGAGTTCAGTTCAATCCTTTACCGACACATCACTGCCCCATACACTCATGACAAATAGCTACTCTTGGCCTATATCTGATCTTATTATGCCCCTTCCCATCTCAGGGCCTTTCTAAGACCCCTTACCCAGAATACTCTGCTCCTAGATCCTCTCCTGGCTGACTAAATATTCAGATCTCAGCTGAAATGTCACCTCCTCACAGGAGACTTCCCTAATCATCCAAATTTGAGTAGTACCCCACCACTAATCACTAAACTGCACCTAGTTTTATTTTCCTCATAACATGTAAACTAAAATTAACCTATTCATTTATTTACATATTTGCTCTCTGTCTCCCCCTATGAGAACTGCAGTTCAGTGAGAACAGGACCTTTGACTATTTTGCTCAGCACTCTATTCTCAATTTACACTGGAAACACACACACACACACGTTAAATGGATTAAAAAATGGAGGAATAATTCCTATGGAAAACCATTCCATCTCTGGACCTCCCTGTTAAAAAAAGGTTCTTCTAAAGTTGGACTGAAATCTAACTCCTTATAACTTATGTCCATTGTGGTCCTTGTCCCACCCCCTGGAACTACACAAAATAAGGTTAATACTCTTCCTTAAGAAAATCCATGAAACAGTTCTTTTGGCTATCAAGTCCCTCTCACCCTGAAACTTCTCTGTTTGTGTTAATCATTTATTCTTCAAATGATGAAGTTTGGAATCCTCCACTATCCCGAATCTCTCTCTGAATGTGCTCCTGTTCACGTGTGTTCCTCTGAGGGCACAGCACCCACAGAAGCAGTGCTCTAACCTAAGGGTCCTAATTACTCTTCCAGGGTGTGGTCCAGTAGATAGGCCTCCCAAATTCCCTTCCACCTTCCCACCCTAAGCTGGACTGTAAAGCCACTGAGCAGATATATGCTCCTAAACATTAGGGCATTTAGATGTTTTAGAAGACACTTCTGAGGGCATACAATTTCTACATAATTGAAGATATAAGAGGCTGTACACCCAATCCAAGATCTCTTAAGTTAAAACTAAGGCTCCCAGAGTTACCATTTGCTGATCTCTTCACTCCTTCTCTCATTGTTAGTCCTTCTCTCTATGTTAGCCCTTATTAGCCCGGCCCACGTGCTTTCCCCTCAATAACACAGGAACAAGGCCTTCCAGAGCCAAGAGGAGACACATAGCTGGGTTCACCTTCGCCATGGCTCAAGAAAACCCATGGAACATAAACTCCAATGGTCACTCTCTTGTTATGGAGAGAGGATGGAGAGATTAAAGTCCCCTTTCACTCTAGGGTCGTTGTATGTAAAACCACACTACAAAAATCACTATTCTCTAGCAATTTTGTTCCCTATTCACCTCTACCTTTCAATGTTCATATTAATGTGATTTAAAAGACATTAGAATTCATCTCCAGAAACCAGTATTCCAAGATATTTTATGGGAAACTAAATGAGTAGAGCTCAATTAGTATAGCAAGGGGAGACTAATCTATAGATAAATGAATTCCTTAGTTAATTCACCTATTCTATTGAACCATTTACTTTCCAGTGGCCTGAACGGCAAGCTGTTTTTCCTCCTCCCTCTATGCCAAGCTGTGAGACACAGTGGAGCTCTCACTGAAGTGCATATCTATTGCAATTAAAAGCATGTTTGCATTACCTTTGATGAAGTTTCCTTCCCCTTTGGTTTCCTGCTTTATATGCCATTTGTACAATATCAGGGAGATCAACCAAGGTATGAGAGAAAGCTGCACACTTATCTACACGTGTGTCCTCCTTCATCATATTCAGTGGTTAGCCTGCATGTTACTTGGCAAATATTCTTTAAGCTTTTCTTTTTTATTTGCTCTTCTCCCAACTGGGGTATGCGCCCCTTGGGAGCTCCATTATCAGATGTGGTAACTCTGTGGGCAGATGCCTAGATCGGGGTACACATGCAGGATGGTGGGAGGGTGTGGAGGCGGGACAAGGCCCATACATCATGACAACTGCCCAGGAAGAGAGACAGCTGGACAGTGAGGCAAAGAGCTCATACCCTTGGTGGTGACCAGCAGGGGGCCCCTCGCTACGTGGAAGGTTCTACCTCTTGCTTCTGTTTGGAAATGAGCTGAGCTTCCTTTAGAGACAGGTATACCTCTTCCTGAGGATCATAGTAGTAGAACTTTCGGATATAAGAGATCAGAGGTCTGTGAAAAACAAAAGAGAGATACAGACAAAGTGTCATTTACACAGGTTATAAAAGAAAGACCATCTTTGTTCAACCCTTCCTTCTTTTCAATTCCTATATGGTTGAGACTACACCAAAGACTCTGCTACCCTAACAAAATTCCCACTTTCTCATTTATTATAGTTGTTTCCTTCTCTTCATATAGACTACTGAAGGGAAATACACACACACCTTCCTGCCTTCTGGTTGCAAAGTGACAGTTCTAGAGCTAGGTGCCAAGACACAGGAGAAGCGAAAGGCGGATGCTTGTGAATATTGCCAGGTTCTGTCTGTGCAATCAGCTTGCCGGCCTCCCAAACATTTTTAACTAACCCTCCTCCCTGCCCCGACCCTAAAGACCCCGTCATACTTAGGCAGTGGGAGATCCGGGATGTGATCTATCCGGACGAGCTGTCGGATTCGGAATCTGCAAAGGTGCTGGAGGGATTTGACATTGCTGAATCGGGACACTGGATAGAGCAGCTGAACTGGAGTTGGTGGCAGTCCTTCAAGAATGAAAACCAAGAGAAATATTCAGAGAGAACAATGCAGCTAACTATAATTTCTCTTATGAAAAGAGTCCAGGGAAGGGAAATGGGGCTTCTTCATAGTTCATCTATGTGTTCTGTGCAAAAGCTCCCTTCCACAAAGGACTGCTGACTTCCATTTGCAGAAACACTACTACCATATTTCACACTTAAGAGAATCTCTCCTCCTCAGCGAGGGCCTCCCTAGCATCACTCTTAACACCTGAGGGTCCCACTCTTCAGAACAGCCCAAAGAAAAATGGCCAAGGTAGAGACTTTGAGGGGAACCAAGTGGCCAATCCCAGGCCTGAGGCTCTCAGGGAAGGGGAAGAATTGAAAGCATCACTGCTGGGAATGGGAGATACTTGTTTGGTACATCTAGCAGTACCCTGAAGTTGAGGTCTCAAAAGGCTGTTCAGAGGAGTCCCCACTAAATTCCAACTGAGAGGCTGGCAAAGCAAAAGGCAACAGCTGGGATCAAAGTTTACAAGTCCATCACTCCCACCATTTACTTCAAGCCAGAACAATCAGGTTTAGCCACCTCTTATCTCTCACCCTTCTTGCTTCTGAAATTTTAGGCTGGGTACAGGAACAGAAAAAAAAAATGATATTATTAAAAGAAAAGCAACTATAGTAGCTTGGGGAAGCTGGAATTAGAATTACTCAGTACAAAAGTGCCTGCTGACTGATGTCAGCCAGGTCCAATGGGAGTACCATACTCCTATGTTTCATCAATTATCAGCAGGCTCTATGCTCATAGGGAAATTCCAACCTCTCAAGGGTCGACACCACAGAACGGGGACACCCAGAATAGCAGGGACACTGAAAGAGGTTCAAAGGAACAAAGAATATCCTGGTTTCAATCAACAAGGAGGCTATGAAAAGGGGCTATCTACAATAAGCAAACTGCTCTCACAAAGTATCTGAGTTGCAAAATATTTGAAACAATTATTTTTCTTAGCCATTGTCATATCAAAAGAAATTCTGTAGACACAATTTGTTGAAAATAAAATATCTACTATTTTTGTAGTTTAATTTCAAGCAGTTTTTAAACTTGTTTCAAGGCATGAGAAGAAAAAAATTAGAGCTTGCAGATTGCCTCCCAAAGTCTTTTCATGGTTGTTGACAACTGACTGTCTAAAAAAATAAAATATATATTATACTGTTATTAAACAAGTAAGCTTATCTTAAAAACATTCTCTTCATTTAGTCTTTAGAACTTTACTTTTGAGACAGATACCACTATCATCCCCATTTTACATATGAAGAAATTGAGGCCAACTGGACTTAAAGAACTTGTTCATGGCACAGAACCAAGAAAGCTGGCCTGCCTTGAACACCTGCTGTCTGAGGAAGAGTTTAGCCCATGGAACCTCTCAGCGGGGTTCTCCGTGAGTCTCCCCAGAGCGCGCGCCTGTCCTAGGTCTGACAGGGGCTATCCAGGACAGTCGTAGCACCCTGATACATGACCAGCCTTAGTTCCCACCTTCTCACTTCCACCTCTTCAGGCCTAAGGCTTATATTTTGAAGCACTGTCTCCCTCCACCCACGTGGTTGGCCCTCTCCTCACAAACCATTTTAAAAAAATAATTCACACATGGATTTTTCTCTTGAATATATTTAAACTCAAATGGTTTTGAAAATGATTGGGCGTTCGAATGCCTCTTTGAATTTATCCTTTTGCTCACGTTTTTAAAATATTCTTTACTACATTAAACTTTGGCAATCTATGGGGGTTGGCTATAATATTGCTAAATTCAACATGATATTTCAGAGAAAAAAGTAATTTATGTATCTAATTATTTAGTCCCAAAGACACACTAGTATAGGACTAGTGCCTAAAGAGTTCAGGATAATAAGCAGCATATAATTATCTGATTGTTTGCCTACTTGAATTCTAATGACCATATATACTTGCCTATTTAATTGTGTTACTTTTCGCCTTAGGTCCACAAATAGCAATTTGAAACCTGTTAATTCTCCGATATTCTCTGGTGTCAACCTGACCATTAGCTGTTTGCCCTCACATTCAGAGCTCTCACATTTAGAGCCTGTTAACAGAAAAGGTTAGAAATGAAAATAAATCCAAGATAAAACACCAGTGAGTGCAGCTGAAAGGGAGAGGTGAACAGTAGTCATCAGGAACTTTCCTTTGGTCCGCATGCCAGGGCTCTTGGGCACAAATCCAGTTACCTGCTACTTCACTGTCATCTCTTCTCCAGCATGGACCAGGGTTAGGGGTGACAAATCAAAGACCTAGGTCTTTCTGCCACACCAAGAGGTTCCCCAAGGACCAGAATTATCCAGCCCAAAATGTCAAAAGTGCTAAATTGAGAGACCCTGGGATATAGGGAAGACATATCACTGGACAAGCAATATAAGTGTAATGATGGTTACAAAAGAGGAAGTAACCAATTTCCTTAGAGTTTTCTAATTCAAAGTGTGATTAAAAAACAAAAGTTATTTTCTCTTCATGCACTTTGCAGATGAAGTCTCCCAACTAAGAAGGACATGTTCAGTTTGAGTTCTAGCTCTCCCAGGGTCAGAGGTTTTATGCTAATCCATCACAATCTCTTTTTGAGACTGCTGCCCGGTATTAGAGGCTTAGTTTATAACTCTACAATGGGCCAGACTGAGATGTAATCAGTGACCTCAGATTTGTTATGACCATGTTCCAATACTACAAGAAGCGATAAGGAGAAACCAAGCTCAGGTGCCATCACTTTTACCAAGGGCCCCTCCCCTAGATGCTAATTATTCCATTTATTCTAATTAGTTTCTTTCTGCTCCTTATGTGCCACCAGTGAGAACTTTCCCATTAGTCCTAGGCTTTATGATTCCTATGATCCCTGGCATCCCTTTAACACCAGTCTGGATGCATCTGGCTCTAGAATTGAGCCAGAAAAACCTGACTTTGCATCCTATCTCTGCAACTCAGTATACATCAGTTTCTCAATCTGCTGAGAGGGAGGGAGGGAGGAAGGGAAGAAGGAAAGGAGGAATGGAGGGAGGAAGAGAGAGGGAAGGAAAGAGAGAGGGAGAGAGAGAGACTATAATATCCCTTCAAAGGATTTGGAAAGGGTCAAATGAAGTAATATCTGGCCCCTTGTGGGTATTCAGTTATCATCATCCCAAAGTCTGAAAAGACTCTTTTTCAAATCTACTGATTTAAAATTCCTGGTGCAGGATGACAGAGCTCAACCTAAATGCTACGACTACCTCCCTTCACGCCAATCCTCGCTCTGAATACGTCAACCTTACAGAATGCCTACACCTTTATGATAAGCAAAGCAGGGCAGCAAACATATGGTGAAGGAGAACACTGGCTTTGCCTTCTTTGTCCCAATCCTTCAAAGAGAGGTCCCTTAGGGTCCAGGACAAATAGTAACTCTGCTCTGTCTTCTCAACTTGATTATATTTTTAAGTGTAAACAGATACCCTACCCATAGCATTCCCCATAGGTCCCAGAAAGATACCTTCTACTAACAAACACAATTGTATCTTCTTTATGTAGTCTCCACAAAACCCAGCAAACTCATGTTTCTGTTTGCTTATTGATGCTTCTTCCCATAACAGAGTGGTGGTAAATAAAGCATAAGATTTGGAGTCAGTTGTGCCTGGGTTTGATTCCTGGCTTCAGCTAAGTTACCTTTAGAGTAATTTCACTTTTGAGCCTCAGCCTCAGTGGCAAAATGAAAACAGTCTTATCTATAAATAATAAACCAATCTATTAGCTAAAAAACTTAGAGATGTAAATAAGAACCTGACAAAGTACCTGGCACATGACAGACACTCAATAAACAGTAGCAATTATTATAATCTCTAACCATTAACAATGTTAAGAATCTTAGTTAAAACTTCTGCAGACAGGGCACATTTGTGGAATGAAGTGAGCTATACCTGAGCAGTTCATGAAGTCATTCAACACTCTACAAGTACATACATGCTCCAGACTCCAGAATCCTCTGAGAGGATTTCCTTGGTTCACTCACAAACAGAGTGTATGAGCCTGCCCTTGTTGACCACTGCCACGCCTTGTACTGAATTTTTTCTTCTTGTACTGAATTTAGCATGTACTATTACCTTTATCTTCCTACCTGTTCCCTCTTTGAGGGTATGAGCTCTCCGAGGGCAGAGATGTGGCTTATTTTATACTGAGTTACAAAAATAAATGCTTGTTCAATAAATACTCCCCAAAAGCCACAAACTTTAAAAACTGCTATGGATAACCAGTGTCACCTCAATAATTTTAATTAAAAAAAAATTGCAACACAGAGCAATTTCAGTAAGAAAGGATTCTAACTTTTTCCTTTAACCAAGTCAACTGCATGAGACCCAACTGTGTTGACAGCACTGAGGCAAATACTAAATGAAGTGAGAATTAATACAGTTCGCACCCTGTCATGCCTTATTTAAATCACCAAGATTATAAAACACATTCCTGTAACCTGGCTCAATCCTGTTACTGATGTTTTGCCTGAGGCTCTCCTGTAACTTCTTTTTAGAGAATTTCTTGGCACCCTATTTGTTTAAAAATCTTAATTTAATTCAATGGGAAAGCACAACATTCTCATTTTAAGTTCTCTTTCTATCTTAGAAATGCCTCAATTAATGTGCTTGTCATTTTACTTTTCCCAACACTATAAAAGCAGATTCCTCCAAACCACCTCCTTCTCTCCCTCCAATACATATTATACAAGCTTCCCTACTTAGTGGGCAGGAGGACTACAAAACCACACGAGTAAGGATGGGAACTTCCCAATGCTCCCACTGGTAGGGATACAAGATACAATAAAAAGCACCTACTCTTTAACAGAAAGTTTAGTACAACACAGACAAGATCCAGAGCAGACTGCCATTGAATTCAGCCTCCTTGACACTCATCATTGCCTTTCTAGTGAACCCACTTTTACCTTCCCTGTTCCCGTTGAAATGACTTGAGAGCTCTCACCTCTGTTTCACATGTAAGTGTAAGATGCCTGGATCAGGGACAAGGAGCTATTTCTGAATATTAAATATTTACATGATGCCTGGACATGAGAGGCAGGAATAGTTTTCTCATTCATGTGGTCAGAGAGCAAAGATTCCTTCTCAATATATTGAGGGATTAATATACAAGAGTAGGGGGTTAACCACTGGACTCTAGAAAGAGTGATTGCTATAAAAGCCAGGATAAAAAGCTCTGAAGTGTGGCCTTTTGAGGAGGGGGGGAATGCATCTGATACTATACTAGAGCATACCCAAGTAAGTTCAATAATTTTATAATAACTGCAGCCTTACCTGGAACCCTGGATCTCAAGAAATAGAGAAACTTCCCATTCTTGGAGTGCATAATGGCTCTCTTAATGAACTCCACCACTGATTGACAGCGATCCTCAAACTTGGGATGACACCAAAGGCTGAAAGTTCCTGCCATGGAAAATTAAGGAGAGGTAAAAATGTAAAACTTACTTAAAAAATATCTGTGAGGCTGACTTGAACATTTTTAAGACTTTTACTTTTAGGAGGGCTGTTTATGGGCAAGCAGAGTCAAAAGCCCCTGAAGCCACCTGTTTCTGCTTATTCCACAGTTAATGGCAAGAAAAATGCTCCCTTTAATACGACATTAATTAGATCTTACTAAGCTTTTGTTAAATAAGTAAATAATAAATTCAAGTCAGAAAAAAGATATAAAAATACTTTGTCAGTATAAACACTAATCCTTAAATCAAAGACCATAATAAAAGGCATTATCTAATTCTCAGGTCTTTGCCATAGTAAAAGCAAGTTTAAATGACATCCCCTCAAGATCTAAGTCTTCAAGTATTCATGGGACAGTCAAGGAAAGAAGAGCAGTTTTGTGGGTATCACTCATGTGTGTGTGTGTGCTGGGCACCAGAAAATCAAATTCTAAGTCTTTTCCTCTTTAGCTTCTAAAATTCTACACCCCAACATGTTACAAAGATGCCACTCTAAACTTTAGAATCCCAAAGGCAAAAGGGAATCTAAACTCCCATGACTTAAAACAACAACAACAACAAACCTCCAAAACTAAAGCACTAAACCCAAAAGAATCACCCACAAAGGGGATACTAAACCACTCAAGAGAATGGCAGATCTGAGTCTTTCTAGCTACTCTTACAGTATCACTTAAAAAGACGAAGACAAATGTTCCATTGCAAAGTGGCAACTGAAAGGCCCACAAGGCTTCTATTAAAAATTCCATTTATTCAAGGAAGAAAAGTCTCTTTGAACAAAATGTAATTGGAGAACCATTTGAAAGAGTTCTCTCATTCCTGGCATCTCACCATATCAGGAACCTAGAGGTCAAGCATTTATTCATTATTCCTGTGGCCTAGTCATTTAAAATTTTAATAGGTTTATAAAAGTAGTTTACTCTGAAATGTTTCATTTTGCAATTTGTCTTTTTTGTTTGATTTTTGCTTTTAGGGGCAGCAGGAAAGAAGCAGTCTAATCCATAGTTATCTAATTCTCAGGTCTTTGGAATGAAGTTCCTTTCTTTTCATGAATCTTTAAGGCAAAGATGGGGGCAGAGAAAACCATGGACAAAGCTATGCTAACTTAGCAGCTACTTCCTGCCTCACAAGAGAAACAAACCAAATAAATCCAGTAGAACATGCCTGAGAGCAAGAAAGACATGGTATGCCTGAGAAGAGCATAAATTTGAGATGGACGTCTAACACAATTCATTTAAGGTGATCACATGTGGGAGGAGTAAGAGGGGCAAGTCCCTCAAACCCCTCAAAGTTCTCTACACTTTTTAAACCTGTAGCATATGCAGGTATTTTGATACTTGATGTATAACCCAGCCCTACCACCAATGATCACCACAAGTTTCTGGCCCAAGTCAAGTACAGAATGTCTCGATGCAAAGTCAATCCAGAGAGCAGTGTTTAACAAGTCATCTTCTAGACCTGAAGGTAACATTAAGCACAACATGGCCACAAAGGAGGAGGTGCCAACAGGGAGGAAGGTAGGCAGTCTAATGCAGGGGTCCCCAACTCCCAGGCCGTAGACCTGATGATTAATTCCCAAAAGACTACAAAGCTGACCAAGAGAGGAAATTATCATCACCATACCGCCTGGCAGAAGAGCTGGTGTGACTGTCAGGCAAAGAAATTCATAACAGAACAGTCACAAGATCAACACTAAATTCTCTTCTTCATATATATAAGTTAATAGAAAGTATCTCTAGATGTTGAGTTAAATTATAAACAAAGCTTAGGAAAATCTGTCTAGGTTATTTCTTCCTTCTACCAAGAGCGTGGTTTTACTGACTTTGTTCTGCTCTTCAACAGCCTTGTTCAGGCCCTCCTATTTAGGAGACAAGATGCTGAGAATACATTTAAATGGAATCCTACTCTCTTCCCTACCCCACCCCCAACATTTCTTCTAGTGATTGAAACCAGCATTCAATTGAGTCTGAGATTTTTTTCTCTCATTCATAGTTCTATTTCTATGAATCCTTCCTATGAAAAAGTCAAATAGCAAAGGTAGATGAAGGCTTCCTTCCAACACCAGCACTCTTACCTCTGTAGTGCTCCATTCTGGTGTGGTGGGTGATACCCTGTGATCGGAAGCTGAGGCTCAGTATATAACGAGGATCAGAGCTGTCTCGTACCAAGAAAGAACCATCTGGCTTCCCTTTCAGTTTCATCTCTGCATCTTCCCAATTCATTGGTCCCCAATACCAACCACACTATCAAAGACAAAAAGTGGTCAAGTGGTTAACAGAATAAAGAAAGGTCAAAGTTTTCAGCACAATCTATCTTAACACAGGAGAACTTCCCACTTCAACACATTGAGAGAAAAGCTGCTAAGAGTGTCTCAACCATTAGCAATGAATATCAGGCTCATCATACTCTTAGCCCTCCAAAGTTACAGAAGAATAATTCTACAATTCCATTACCAAGGCTGTACTAAAAAAAGAGACATGGGTCAGTTAATCTGTCACAAGCTGTTACATAGCTTAAACTATGTAAACATTGCTCCACAAACTATCACGTTCAATTTTTTCCCCAAGATTTAATTTTACATCTTTTATAGAACTGATAACAGCAGCATTTTGTTTTATTATAGTAAATATAGAGGTAAGGAAACTATTCTTCCTCTGAAAATAATAAAAGGGGTGCATAGTATGGAATTAGGGCGTGGGAGAGGAGGTAAGCCACCAGTGCTCAGGCACCACCTACCTTCTCCAATTCTCGCAAACTGGCTGCAAAGCTGCTTGAGTCAGGCCGGTAGAGGGGACACTGGAGGTGTTGGGGGGGCTGGCTGTGCAGGGACTCAACTGCTCTGATGGGAGCAATCCGGGGAAATGCATCTGCAGGGCAAGGGAGTGGTGATCACTTGTTTACCCTCAATGCTCCCAACCATAAGCAGACCCTCCCCCAAAACAGAGATGCTAACTGAAGAAGGGCAAGGCATTAGAAGCTAAGCTGGAAAGGGTGGAAGACAAAGCAGCGGGAAAGAG